GAGCTGCAGACAGGTTGACCTGTGCTCTCACCATGGGTTGAAGTGGGAATACTTAGTGCACCTCCTTCTCCTTCTTCACCTTTCTTTCTTCACCAACCTTGGTGTTCTGCACAGTTGTTCTCCTCATGTCCCTCTCCTTTCTCGGCAGCAGGTCCCTTCTGATGGTTCTGAAGAGCTCCCAGCTCCCTCTTTTGGAAGTTGTTCTCCTCATGTCCCTCTCCTTTCTCGGCAGCAGGTCCCTTCTGATGGTTCTGAAGAGCTCCCAGCTCCCTCTTTTGGACTAGAGCTGCAGCAGGGCTTGAGCTTAAGTTGGAGCCAGGCTGACCTGGCCCAGACCAGCCCAGCTCAGGCCACCTGTACCTGGGACCATGCTGCTTGGGGTCAGGGCAAAAGAGGGCAGGCTGGGGCTGAGCTCTTCTTAAATACATGAATTTGCAGGGGTGCTGATTGGCTTGGCCATGGTCAGAGTGGGTTCGACATTGGAGCCGAGGGAGCTTCTGGTAGCTTCTTACAGGGCTATCTCTCTAGCCCTCCTTCACTATCAAAAAAAACCCCAAACCTCTCACAGAAAACCCAATATAGCATGGTCGATACCTTTAGAGTAATTCATATTTTAAGATCAACGTAGGAGACTATTTCAGCATCTCAAGTGTACATGTGAGGTGAAGGGGTTGCTTCACTCATGCTTTGCCATGCACCTGATGTGGGACAGTTGTGAAACATATTCAAAGTGCAACTGCTTTTTTCATATGACTTGAACCTGAAATGTGTTTGTAGAGTGCAAGAAGAAAAAAATATTTTGATAGATGGTTGAATATTTCCCAATAATGAATCAGCATATGAGGCATATTTATCAATTTTCTCCTTTCTCAAAGCTGTAGCTGTTCTGGGAAAAGTCCTTTAACTTTTTTTCTTTTTCTTTTTCATTTTTTTTTTAATGTTCTTCTAGCCTGCTAACAGTTATGGAAGATCCAATTTTCATGGCACATGGAACATAGAAAGAAGAGGAGAAGAATCATCACTCGGACAGACAGAGGAGATTTATGTCAACTGCAGAAATGCCTCAAAGAAACCTAGGAAAGACCATTAGTTTCCTTCTTAAGACTGAAGTAACCGAAGTGCAGGCCTTATATTTGCAGCTTAGACTTTACTTGTTTTGTGCTGGCAAAAAGTGAAACTGGAAAAAAGTGGAAAGTCAAACTGTCTGATCTGAGCACTGCCTGGGCTGCTTTGGCTGGACAGCAGCCTGGGCCAGGTTACACAAGTTGCATCTGTGTTGTATTGCAGCCTACAGCATTAAGACATCCTTTGAGTCATAGGTAAAATTAAGGATTATTCATAATTCTGCAATTTAAACATTTTTACCTCATAGATGTACTCTCAAGTAAGAATTTTAGAATAGCTCTGATATGCAGAACGGAGCTTCACATGTTTACATAAAGTTGATTTGGACTGAGAAATCTGTGTCTGAGAAGCCTATGTGACAGGGTGAGAAAGAAAATGTGCTCAATATTATCTATGTCCATGATTTTTAGAATCTTGAATTGAGAGCGCTATAAAATAATAAATATCCATGATTTTCCACACAGGAGGTGTTATTTTGCTGCTGGGCAAACAGTACTATTCAGCTGACAAAAGCAAATATATCAGGGATCCTTGAACCTACAAATAAAAGTATGAATAGAGGCTTGCTATCTGACAGCTGTGGGGGTTTTACAGGCTTCTTGCCACTCACCACTGTTATTTCAGTGCTTTCTATATGGAGATGCAATAGAAGTGTAGTCCCTGCTCTCCTCCTTCCCTCTGTGCCCTCAACCTCTATCCCCCATGCCCAGGAGAAAACAAAACACAAAGACTCTGTCACTATCAGGTTATATTTAATAATAATTTATTATAAGGTTTAGTTGCACAAAAATAAATGAGAACATGGAAGATACATGAATAAATGATGCAAAGCAGAAAAAAGCATGACTGAGAACATTTACAAAACAATACACATACACATGGAGCTGTATGTGTGTGTATGTATACAGTCTACTGAAACCTACAGAAGAAACCACACAGAAATTGAACAAACAAACAATCAAACAAACAAAATCCTTAAACAAACAGAACTAGAAGGCAGACCTGAGAATTAGGTTCTACACATCTTTTGGTCTTTTACAAATCTGCTGTATTACTGAGGATGAAATCCCAGTAGATGAAAGTGTTACCATGATGGCTGATAATCATATATGTCGGCATACTACAAACTGTGTGCCTGGCCCACCTATACTTGGTTTCCCTTTTCTCTTGAAGTGTTAGTAAAAGTGTTGTTGAATATGTTGGGTAGTTTGTTTTTTTTGAAAGGAACTGGGGGGAGGCATCATGAGGCTGCCTACAGATCAGTTACTGGTTCCACTAGGCTGGCTAGGAAGGAGCAGCAGCAGCCTGAGAGTGAAAAGCACATTTAGCATAGCCTTCTCCAATGGAAAGCTTTCTTCACGTGCACAAGAATATAGGAGTCTAGGTTCTTCTGAGAATAGGGTGGATACAAGGTTTCTCTGAACTATTTGAGCAATAATAGTGTCATGAGGTTATCCTACACTTCAGCTGAAAATCTAAAATCCTAAACCAAACTGTTCTTTAACTTAGCACTGAAGACTTAAATTGTTTACAATGTCACATACCATTAGAAAACATCTCATTTTGGTTTTGTGTGCTCCTGAACAAGGACACACATTGCAAAGGATATAATTTTTTCACTTACTGAAAGTTTTCATATATATATAAATGCTTGCATGTGAAGTTGATGAGAATACACAGAACTGAACTACTAATAAGTTGTTTTTTTCCTGAGTTATCAAATATCATAGCAGATAATTCTAAGTTGTGCACAGCATTACAAATAAAACCCTGTAGCACTGGGTTGTTTCTTTTATGATCTCATTTCTATTAAAATGCCAAACTGATAATGTAATGAATTTGATTACACTGAAGTTGTCTGTTGGAACCCTGATACAGAAATATTCATAAGCCGAGAAGCTGGTATTGTTTCAGTGCTTGTAGAGACAGCCAAAATACAACCCTATTTTACTGAGGGTAAAAAAGCAGGGGAGATTGAGGTTAAGTACCTGGAATACCAGATTGTTTTGATTATTTCTGGTAATGCCTTTACTTCTTGCTTCCCCTGGTACTTTTAGCTTGTCTTTTCAAAATAATTGCTTATTTTTGAGATTTGAGGAAGGAAAAAAATAAACTGTTGTGCACATCTTTACAGGTATTTAATTGGTTTTAATTCAAACTCCATAGACATATTACTTTTACCAGGATAGTCCACAGGGAAAATCACATCACAAATAGTACAATAAGAACATTATATTAGTTTTTCAAAAAAACAAGCCCAAAACAACAGCTTCATTCTTTGTACCATGATAATATCAGTGAACAGCAGCTGAACATGAGACTGAAACAAAACTGAAAACAACCTAAAACTTATCAATATTCTTATTGGCTTAAAACCTAGTAAGCTACATACAAGAGAAACTTTCAAAAGTGTAATTTGAAATGTAATATTAAAATTCTTTAAATATTTTATGAGTCAGGCAGGATGGGATCCAGTAAGAGCCTCTTTGCTCTGACAGAGTTTGAATTATATAAATAGACTTTCCAGTGTACAATAGTACAAACTATTATTTATTGCTGCTTATATTCAATATTTTCCATAGGTTTGCCTTTTTCTTCTGGAAACTTCCAGTTCCTTTTGAGTAAACTCCACCAACTGTAATCTGGAAATTCTATGTTGAACAATTACTGTGCTATTACATGCTGTACCACATGACCAAATAGTTAAGGAGGACAAAAAACTATCAAGGAAGTAATATGACACAACTATGGATAGCACTATCATACCACCTAAACTGTAAGATAATTCTGTCTTTTTTCTTGCTTTAAGGCCTTAGAAATCTTGCTGAAAGGAAATAAACATAATAAAGCAAGTTATAATTAAAAAACCTGAGTCTTGAATCACTAGGTAACTACCTTCTGTGTAACTGCAAAATGAATCTATGAGATTTTAAGAAAAGTAAAAACAGATTTATTTTCCACAATTCATAATTTTCCATTCATCTTTTTTTGCTAGGTTAAAAATGTAGATGTTTAAGTCCCATGTTCAAAGGAAAATTCTACGATTAATAGTACTATTAAGTCTTTAAAGGGCATAAAATCACATCGCTCTTGAAAAAAAGAAATCAGAGAAAAAAATACTTGTAATCAATCTTTGCTGGGGCTTCTGAATGTGGGAGAGGTAGTCACCAGAGATTGGATCAACAGGACAATCAACAAGGAAAATCACAGTCTATGAAAAAAGGTGAAAGTTAGAATGGTAACATACCTTATCTTCTGTTGTTTTCTTTATTCATCTCAAATATGTTCCTTTACCTTAAACAGCTTCTCTGACTATATAATATGTTCATGATACTGCTCAGTCTGCTTGTCCTCTGCGCTCCCTTGGCTGTGCGTCTTGGGGTAAAACAATATTTCTGTGAGGAAAGAGCTTGCTTTCAGGGCTGAACCCACCAAGGAACATGAGAAACTGGACTCCTCCAAACCCCCACATTAGGCAGGGTAGTCCAGCTCTTAACACTCTTTTTGACATCCACCTTCCCTAAACTGCTGGGCATTGTTTCTGTTAGTCACATAAGTATTTTCAAGAACACACAGAGATAGCTTGTTCTAACTGTGCTGTGCAATTTACCCAATTACTTCCTATCCAGGTCTTATCCAGGACCAGAGAACAGGAGGAAAGGACCAAGGCAACAAAGCAGGCAGAATAGTTAAAGTATAGGTGCTACTAGTATTTGTTTGTTTGATGACAAGTGAATTCCAACTTACTGTTGAAAGACCCAAATATGAAACCTTCAGAAAAATGAAAATATTTCAGAGGACTGATCTCACTACCAGGCCTCCGTTTGCTTTGTTTTGTTTTGAATTTATTTTTAAATCTTATTTGCATCATGCTCCTCTAAACCTTGTGTGTCATTGAGCTATGTGAAAGTTCAAATCAAAGGTATTTATTTACAGTAGCTGAAACTCTGGTTCAGTGATTTCTCCCTAGGGCAAGTGAAAGACTTATTTCCTTTAAAGCCTAGATGCTCAGTAGGAGTTAATCCCCTAAACGGCTTTGTGAGTCTGACACTAAGGTCTAGTTCCAAAAACAGTCCTGTCTGTTTACAAGATAGGTGCTAAAATGCTCTTTTAGACTGTGGACCCCAGAAGTAGAAACTATATGTCAAGTTCTCAGACTGTGTTATTTAACGTGTAAGTAAGGCAACTCAAAAGATGCTTCCAATACTCACACATTCCTGGGGAACTATTCTGGGCTACAGCAGAAGACAGCCTCCATTGGCATGCCTTGTTGGGATGTGGTGTCAGGATATGTGTGGGCTCAGAGTGGCCACTGCCCCTTTAACATTCAGTGTAAAGGACTTCCCCCTGAGTCTGGAGACCCACAGAGGTCTTCAAAACGCTAAGCTGGACTATGCTTTTCGCTGTCACATGAAATGCTGGCTGTTTCTGCTACCACGGTCAGTTCACCCAGCATCCTACCTGCCAAGTCAGGCAGGAAAAGGAAGACCCTAGACCAGTTCCCCCCATGCCTGCATTAGACATGCATCCCCTCTCCTCTGTCCTTTCCATCCTTCTTCCTGAAGCTGGGCTCCTGTACAGAAACAACTCACGTTTTAAGGACTAAGAAGAAGACCCAGGAGTGGGCCTGAAGGTCTCAGTAGGGCACTCCTCCAGCAAGAGTGTCCTTGTTCCTGTATGCTTTGGTCCATAACTCTTTTTATTTTATTCCTCTTTTCTAAGAGTAAAATGCATTAAGAGTGAAGAGGATGAGCATCTGGATAACCAAGGGACTAATGTGATGAATTTGCCAGCACCTTCTTTAAAATAAGAGACCCTGGAGATCATCAATGTAGCCTCACCTGTTGGAGCTCAGAGACTACTGGGGCAGGTTGCAATGGGGCTGCGTTAATGCACTAACTAGTTTCTTGATCCTGACTAGGCTTGACTTATAAAGCTGTAGATTTACCTTACTATTCGTGTTAT